ATGCCTGGCAAGCGGGCTGTGTATCGAATCTGGTGGAGGGCTTTAAGGCCTTTTGCGATCGCTGCTTCGATGTGGGGCCGGAAGGAGAGGGTCGGATCTATCCAGACTCCTACATATTTCAGCCTTTCTTTGGGGTGTATATTGATATTGCTAACTTTGACCGGAAGTCGTGGTTGTTGTGTGGATGATGTGGTGGGCCGGAAGAAGATCAAGTCGGATTTATCCGGGTCGTATTTAATTTGGAGTGGCTCAGCTTTTATTAGTCTCTCTCTCATTCGTTCTTCCATTCTCTTGATTGTGAAGCCTGGTGTTTTGGATATTTGTACCAGCGCGTCGTCATCGATGTAAGTAGTGTCCATCTCTTTCGGGCTGCTTGTTGGGTCCAGGATTACTCCAGCATAGATCATAAATAGCACCGGGGACATGGGGCTACCTTGCGGCACTCCAGAATCATAGGGCTGTGGCTCTTCTAGCTCATGGTTGAATTGAAACTGTAGTTTTCTGCCGGTATTGAATTCCTTGCACCATTCTGTTAAGTAGGTAGGGAATTTTTGTTGTTGCATGATTTCCGCGAGGAGTAGGTGGTCAACGCAGTTAAATGCTCCTTGGATATCATTGGTGAGGATCGCTGGTCTGTCTCGCCGAGCGACTCCGGTACTGTTTTTCAGTAGTAGGTTTTGTTGTATTGGCGTTAAGGTTCTCAGCAGGGCGTCGATTGCCGAGATGGTTGGTCTTCCTCCAAATTGATTCGCTGAGAGTGTGCCTAAAATTTCTCCAGCGGTGCAGAGTCTTTGGGCCACTATCTTCTCCAGGATTTTGCTGAAACATTGTAGAAGGGAAATGGGCCGGTAGGCTTTTGCTTCATGATAGTTTGCTTTACCGGGTTTCGGGATCGGGATACACTTAGCTATTTTCCATTCCGCTGGGTGTACGCCGTGCCGGAGCATGGCGGAGAACATGTCTTGGATTAGAGTTATATTTGCTTTAACTATTGCTTTAATAAAGGTGTAAGGGATACCATCCGGGCCGGTCGCCGAGTGCACTGGACAGGAGTCGATTGCTTTATTAAGTTCTTCGGGGGTGACTATGTCGAAGGTGTTGCTAAGGTCAAAAGAAGGGGGTCTAATGTTTAGGGGGGGGTGGTCGGGGGACGTCCGTTTCGAGGGGAAAAGTTGGGCTCTTAGAGCTTGACACTTCCCCGCAAACGTTTCTTCACCTTGTATGGTTGGTATGATTGTGTCTCTTCTTCTTCCTACGTTTAGGATTCTCCAGACTTCACTACCTTTCGCCTCGTTCATCGTCTTTTCCCGCTGATCCGCTTTTGCTTTCCGGATCATGACTGTCCATTCTCTGCAAGCCTTCCGGTGTTCCTCCACGTGATTGGGTTTCCTTGTATTTCTCGCCTTCCTTTCTGCTGCGTTTACCCTTGCCTTCATTTGTTTCATCTCATCTGACCACCAGGAGTTGGCTCTTACCCCCTCCTTCGAGAGTGGTGTTACTATGCTGACTGTTGACCTGACCAGTTCTAGGAAGAAATCGACAGTTTGTTCCGTATGTTCCTTGGTTTCCCATGCCTCTGCAGGGATGGAAATGTTTGACATGTGGTTCTCCAATAGCTTCCAGTCTGTTTGTCGCCACATTCGTCTTGGTACGAAAGGTGGTTTTTCCAGGTGTAGGTGGACGGAGGTTCTCCCGTGGTCTGAGCCCGCTCCATAGGGTTCAGTGCTCCATCGTAGGTTGTGGTCAAGTGTTGGGCCTTTTACAAATGCAAGGTCGATGGTCGTGGGCCTTTTCCCTCTGTCTCTGGGGAAGTGCGTAAAGATGCCTGGTTCGTTCAGGAGGGTCAGTTTCTGTCGGGTTATCCATCGTTTTAACCGTGCGCCGTTGACGCGGTCTGCCCGGATGTTGTTTCTATATTCATGTGCATTTACTCCGTACCACATTTAATGGTGGCAGTTGAAGTCTCCCATTACTAGACAGTTATCAAGGGTTTGGATTGTACTTGCTATTTGAGCGAAGGGGCCACTTCGGCCTGGGGAGTATATGTTTAGGATTTGGGTTTTCTTGTTCTGGATTTCTACCGTAATCGATACTATGAAATTATCGTGTGTGTAGTGGTGTTTTGGTTTGAGGTTGGCATGTTTGCGGACATATGTTGCGCATTTCGTATTGATATTGCTGGCTGTAAAAAGGTAAAAAAGATTTGATTCTGGTGGATATCCCTCTGTTGAGGTCCATGGTTCTTGTAATAGTAGGAAATAAATGCTCGAGTCTGTTTCTGCTTCTTCCACCGCCGCCTTGGTGATTAGTTCGCTCCGTGCACAATTAAGTTGGTGTGCGAGCGCAGTTGTTCGCAGCCTAGGCATTATTCGTCATGGGTTGGTCGTCTTCGGGAACGGGTGTGGCTCCGACCGGGGCGGTGGCTGGTACTTGGATTATTGAAATTGGCTCCTGGGCGGGTGCGGCAGGTGGGTCTTGGGCGGGTGGGGCGTTTTCCTTTCCTTTATTCAGGAATCGGCGTTTAACTCTTTCAGGGCATGCTGGGTCGGAGGCCTTATGGATTCCTTTACAGTTCAAACATCTGATTGGGGTGTGGGTGCATCTGTATCCTCCCTGGCATTGATTGCATGGGTGGAAGCTGGTGAGATGGTCTCCGGCACAATGACCGCATTTTCCATTGTTCTTACATTTCTCCTGGCGGTGGCCGTATTCGAGGCACTTTGCACACTGGGTATCCGGGAAGGTTGGGAGGAAGGCCTCGATATGGCAGCTTCGGTTGAAGAGAGATAGGAATTTAACTCCTAGTGTTTCCATTGTGATTTGTCCCGGGAGCGCGATGACCATAGATGAGTGGGTTTTCTCCATTCGAGTTTCTGCCCTGGATATCCAGCGGGGAACCTGGGCAAGTTGGAAGTTCTCTCCATAGTTGCTTCTGATTTCTGATGCTACTAGTTGTCCCGCCTCAATGCCCTCCCCGACCGTTGTGGGGATTCCATGGAGGAGAAACTTTGACCATTTGGAGTTTGCGCGGATGACAGCGACCGGTACCTGTAGGGTGAGGAGGGCCTCCTCAATTTCTTTGGCGTATTCCATTGCCTTTGTTGCAGGGGTAACGAATTTTGTTTCCAGGATGAAGTTGTCCTTAGGTGTTCTTCTTGCCGAAATGAAATGGCAGGACTCGTCTTGGATTCTTGCATTGACGAGGGTTCTGATCTCGGAGGGGTTAACGTCAGATGGGGCAGTAGTTTCCACGATGATCTCCCTGTTGATCTTGGTATACTCTGGTTTGAAGAGGGGATCCGCTTTTGGCTTTGCGGACTTCTTTTTCCTCTCGATGACCTGGAAGTTACCTTGGGCAGGACCGGGTGCCGAGGCCACGGCGGCCCAGGTGCCTGCCTTCCATCCACGGGGTGGGGCTTGTTGGGGGGGTGCGGGTGGGGGGGCCTGAGGAGCTGCCTGTGGCGCTGCTTGGGGAGCTGTTTGTGGGACCGCTGGAGGGGGCATTCTCTGTCCTTGCGGTTGCTGTGGTTTTCGCTGCTGTTGCTGTTGTTGCTGTTGATGCTGTTGTTGCGGTTGTTGCGGTTGCTGCGGTTGCTGCGGTTGTGGTTGTTTGTTGAGGAGCGCGTGGATCGCCGAATGCATATTGGTGATCATGTTTGTCTGCGCCTCGATCTGATGCTTCAGTGTATCCACTGTTCTCCGGAGAGTAGTCGTTTGCTCTTCGAGGATTTCAATCCTGTCGGAGGGTGGGCAGATCCGGCTGGTGGCATGTCTAATGGCCCAGGTGATGTAGTTCAGGTCCGTCTGGGTGTGGGTGTCCTGGGGGACAATGCTCGGGTAGAGGTAGTCAACTCTCGGCTGGTAGGGGTCGTTGTAGTCGGATTCTGTTGCAAAGGTCGAGGAAAATTCCTGTTCCTGAGCTCCGGATGGGGTTGGGTCGGGAACCTGAGTGTTCCTGTTCTGCGAGGGGGCTGTCCCTTGTTGGGAAGATTGGGTGAAAAAGGACTGGAGCGATGCTTGCTGCGACATAATTGAATGTCCAGTTCTTCTGGCGGCGTAGAGGGATGTTTCGGAAAGGTTTCTTTTCCTTCCTTTCGGAAAGTCAAGGCTGGAGAATTCTTCGCTAGAAGCCAGTTTTCGTGGGTTTCTTTCGCTTGGAACAACAAAACGCGACCGTACGATCGGGGACAAAGTGGCTCAGCCTGGTATGGTATACCAGGTAAAACCGAAAGGAATAAAAATAAAGTGTTTTTGAAGCGAGGTTTGATATCAGGAAGTTTTGCGAGCCTTAGCGAGCAAGGAGAATACAGAGGTTGCGTAAAGAAAGAAGGAAAGAGAGAAAACAAATAAAGATACGAGACAACGCCTCCTTATATATCCAACCATAGTCCGATGATGACTAATACCTTCGCGTAACAGAAACAAAAAGAACATAACAGAAATCCCAATTACAAATCCTAATCCCACTACGCAATACCTCCCCTTCCCGTTCCAGTTTTATCACCTAACCGAAATACATAGTTGCCGTTACAATATTGTTAAGACTCTGATTTCGCCGATGATGGTTTTGGCTAGTCAGTGAATGACACCGTATTTATATCCCTCGCGTATGTCTCGAGGACTCAGTCTACTAATAATACAGAATACGCTCGGGGCCTGCCCGAGACCCTGAAAAACAACCAAGAACATTTAACTCCTAAGTCCGTAACCCAAACTCCTAAGTCCGCTAAAACCCCTCAACCTATTTACCCATTCTAATGCACGTTTCCCTGTCGATGTTTCTTCTCCATCGGCCGTCTGGTGGATAATCGTCAGCGTCGGCTACTCGTAGGTCTCGGACGGCAAGGCTACCTACTCAGGCCTCTTCCCACATCACTTTCCCATATAGCAGAGTCCTCTCATGCGTACAGGTCCCGCCAACAGGTACTCGGTCGGCTGGTAGCTTGCGCCGATTCGCTCCGGGTGGTCCGATCTTCGATCCGATTGATTCCAGCTGTTCCTCATATATCCACCAGTCCAAAAGCACTCCCCTCCGGTGGGTTGACGCTCCAGGGGTTATTATTGGGGTCGAAAACGTGTTTTTTAAGACTCCGTGTTTTGGTCATATATTGGTCGCACCACACCCCGTGGGTGCGGTCCAGAGTTGACATTAGCGTACAGAGGGTATTGGGGTATCTACTAGCCTTTCTCTCACTCCCGTAAATGCTTGGCATGCCCGTAACAGAAACCTCGTCGGTATCCTGCCAGGCAGGCTCACAACCGGGAATGTAGGTCTGTAGAGCGGTCCTGGGCTTCTTGACAAGCTGTGTCTGCCCGGTGGCATCAAGCTGGAGGGGCACCGGCTGCCATTCAATCTGAAGGGGTGCACCCGGAGCCGGGAGGGTGGACATTTTGTATAGAGGAAGAATAATCTGAAGGTGACTTGAGCCTTAAAGATTATCTGTAACGGGGGTCCTTTCTAAGAGAAACAGAATCGGATAGAATAGAGACGGCCGTGCAAGATAGACAATCAGGTTGCAGATTATTCAAAGATACTATCGCTAGAACTCAATAATCTTTAAGGGCTCTGCTACCGATAAGAACTTAGTTTTTCTTTCTGATCCAGACTGGAGAGAATAGGACTGAAGGGCGGGAATGAACCTGAGTACTTATACTCCGAAGGCCTCTATTCTCTGCTCCTAACTCCTTACTAAGTTCCGGTGAAGCCTTTCCTCGGTGCCGGAAACAATACCACTGCTACCCCGATTTTCTCTAAGCGTCAGCAGGTGTTTCCAATACTCAAGGCAACCACCCTTAGTCAAAGCCTTTGTAACACCTGCAGCCTTGGTTGCCACACAACCGAGGGCCTGCATGAATGAGCTGCCACTCAGGTGTAAGCTTAAACATTGCTGTAGAGCTTTCGCTTATTGTAGACCTCCCTAGCATAGTCCCTGCCCTTCGGCGGACTCACAATGCTTTAGAGGATACAGAGGATCACCGGGCAATCAGAGCTTCACTCTGGCCGGTCTTCTAGTCACTGGCGAGGCATAGACTCGTCAGTCATTGCTCCCGTGAATAGATCCCCTTCCTAGCGCCCGGAATGTAGTTACTCTAACAGCTGGTAGCTAACCACACTGCCAGTACTTGCATATCATCGTGCAACTGGCTTCTAACAATAACTCTCAGCATGTAACCGGGCCCTGTGTGTACTCATACACCAGACAGTTGAAATGGCACCGTTACAATTGGTACCCGTGCCTACAAGCTCTCTCTTCCCCCTCAAATGGGAATCCACCCGGTCTTTCATGTCTCTCTTCTGGAACCTTACAGAGCACTGGTAGATCCTGAGAGAAGAGTTCCACCACCGGAACCCGAAGAGATTGAAGGAGAACAGAACTGGGTTGTCTGAGAGGTAGCTGATAGCCGGGTCAATAAGAAAAGGAGATGAGTGGAATACCTAGTGCTGTGGGAAGGTTATGAGAACGAGGATGCTACCTGTGAACCTTGGGAGCACCTCAAGAAGAGTGCTGAAGAAGCCCTTCGGGATTTCCACATGAGGTATCCTAAGAAACCCAAAGACAAGTGGATCATTGCGGTGTAGTTTTTTCCTTTAGGTTTTCATTCCTTGCATATCACGGAATTTCTTGTCATATAGAATGGATGGTAATAGAATGGTTATAGATCTTAGAGACCAAGATCGTGGAAGAGGGGAGTAGTGTAACGGCGCCATTTCAACTGTCTGGTGTATGAGTACACACAGGGCCCGGTTACATGCTGAGAGTTATTGTTAGATGCCAGTTGCACGGTGATATGCAAGTACCGGCAGTGTGGTTAGCTACCAGCTGTTAGAGTAACTACATTCCGGGCGCTAGGAAGGGGATCTATTCACGGGAGCAATGACTGACGAGTCTATGCCTCGCCAGTGACTAGAAGACAGGCCAGAGTGAAGCTCTGATTGCCCGGTGATCCTCTGTATCCTCTAAGCATTGTGAGTCCGCCGAAGGGCAGGGACTATGCTAGGGAAGTCTACAATAAGCGAAAGCTCTACAGCAATGATTAAGCTTACACCTGAGTGGCATCTCATTCATGCTGGCCCTCGGTTGTGTGGCAACCAAGGCTGCAGGTGTTACAAAGGTTTTGACTAAAGGTGGTTGCCTTGGGTATCGGAAACACCTGCTGACGCTTAGAGAAAAGCGGGGTAGCGGTGGTATTGTTCCGGCACCGAGGAAAGGCTTCACCGGAACTTAGTAAGGAGTTAGGAGCAGAGAATAGAGGCCTTCGGAGTATAAGTACTCAGGTTCATTCTCGCCCTTTAGTGCTATTCTCTGGAGTCTTCATCAGAAAGAAATATCAAGTTCTTATCGGTAGCAGAGTGTAACGGGGGTCTCTTCTAAGAGAAAATAGAATAAAATAGAATAGAGATGGCCGTGCAAGATAGACAATCAGGTTGCAGATTATTCAAAGATACTATCGCTAGAACTCAATAATCTTTAAGGGCTCTGCTACCGATAAGAACTTGATTTTTTTTTCTGATGAAGAGTGGAGAGAACAGGACTGAAGGGCGAGAATGAGCCTGAGTACTTATACTCCGAAGGCCTCAATTCTCTGCTCCTAACTCCTTACTAAGTTCCGGTGAAACCTTTCCTCGGTGCCGGAAACAATACCACCGCTACCCCGCTTTTCTCTAAGCGTCAGCAGGTGTTTCCGATACCCAAGGCAACCACCCTTAGTCAAAGCCTTTGTAACACCTGCAGCCTTGGTTGCCACACAACCGGGGCCTGCATGAATGAGCTGCCGCTCAGATGTAAGCTTAATCATTGCTGTAGAGCTTTCACTTATTATAGACTTCCCTAGTATAGTCCCTGCCCTTCGGCTGACTCACAATGCTTAGAGGAAACAGAGAATCACCGGGCAATCAGAGCTTCACTCTGGCCAGTCTTCTAATCACTGGCGAGACATAGACTCGTCAGTCATTGCTCCCGTGAATAGATCCCCTTCCTAGCGCCCGGAATGTAGTTACTCTGACAGCTGGTAGCTAACCACACTGCCGGTACTTGCATATCACTGTGCAACTGGCTTCTAACAATAACTCTCAGCATGTAACCGGGCCCTGTGTGTACTCATACACCAGACAGTTGAAATGGCACCGTTACACAGAGCCCTTAAAGATTATTGAGTTCTAGCAATAATATCTTTGAATAATCTGCAACCTGATTGTCTATCTTGCACGGCCGTCTCTATTCTATCTTATTCTATTTTCTCTTAGAAGAGACCCCCGTTACAGTTTTTTCTTCTTTGATTCTGTATTTGATATTCTTAGTCAGAAAGTAATTGTGGAGGGGGGGGGGGAGTCTGGTGGAATTTTCATTGCTTTACGGTATAGGGAGAGAGGGACATTGTACTTGGAGATGGGAGCGTGTGGCCACAGTGGTGCTACGGCACCAAGGAAGAAGACGTAGAATTTTGTAGACTTAAATTGTCAGAGAAGAGGACCGAGAAAAAGACAGGTATCTCTACTAATAAAATTCTGTCTGTCTCATAATCTGCCCTTTATATCTCACGAATTTGGAAAACTTTTCTATCATCAAAGTATTAGAGCCTATTTACTAACCCTCAATTCTGACAATTGGCGCTTCACCACTCTCCAAAGCGGCAACCACAAGTGTCATTTTGCGGCTTGCGCATTTCATATCCTTCTGGAGGGGAAGCGTCAATTTTGCATTTTGCAACCGTCAATTTCGAAGTGTCAATTGTCAAAAATGACACTTAGTAAATACCCTCTATTTGCCCATTAGCTAAAAGAATATCTTTTTCAATTTTTTACTTCTATAATAATTTTCACCGTCCCGTTCTTTTCCCAAAGACCGACTCAGTGCCCAATAGCCTATCCTATCGGTTGTGGTCCCGACATCTTTCCTCCTCCTATAGTAGAACCCCACCCGATAATCACACATTACTAAATCTCCCTAGTAGCCTATCATAGTAAGGTATTTACTAATAGGAAGATTCAACAACGAGGGATTATTATTTCTGTCAAGATTATCCTCCGGGCCCCAGTCAGGGGGGGGTAACAGCTAGAACCTTCTCTCCTTTCCCCATAGATATGTTCTTTACTCGGACATTCAACATGGCAGAGTTCGTGGTTGTGAATACTCAAGCTCTCAAAGCTCTCCTTACCGGTACCCTCGCGGCTTCCATTGAGACCTACCTTGTTATGGCTCAGATCGGAGACTTTTGGGAGACTTTCACAAACTTATCACTTGCCCAAACCTCCTGCGCAATCCTCTGCGCCTTATACTTATATGTGGACGCGGCCCGGTTTAAGAACGTTAGGAAAATACGAATATTGTCGTCACCGAATTTCGATGGTTCAGCTTTCACGTCCTACGCAAACCACTAATGACCTACTAAACGTTTCTCTGCTAGACAACGCATATCACCCACGCCAGTCCTTTTGGGGCCCTACAATAACAGAGATGCCTTTACATTTATGGCCTCCAAAGAATACTAGTTAGGATCATGAAATATCACTCGTAGTCCCAAGCGACCAATCTAATATCTACTCACGAGCAGTGTGGTCCACGAGGAAGCTCGAGACGAGGTTGGGGTGTTTCCTCGAGTTATCCCGTCCTTGTTGACCTCTGTCCTTGTCTGTCCTGGAGATCACCACTGTTGTCCTCGAGGTACCTCGAGGAGCCTCGACGACGATCAAAAACGACCCGGTAGAGCAAGTCTTAAATGAAAGGTATATTTTATTAATGACCTGATTCCATTAGTACATATTATGTGTGTATTATAACCAAGAATTGTCCTTGGAAGTCCTCGAGGCAAGGACAGTCATTGTCCTCGAGGTTCCTTGTCCTTTTGGACCACTGTCCTCGTTTGTCATTGAGGACATATCCTCGGGGCAACTACACAAGGACGCTCGTCCTCGTGGACCACATTACTCACGAGTTGGCTTATCGTATGGTAAACGAGTGTATATCCATAGTCTACGATGCTCTGGGCCCGTTATAGCTATAATAAATCGGCAGTCATGATCATTGTTAGCAGCTTTATTCAAACAAAAACCTATAAGGCAGTCTCTAAATTGACTAGCTCGTAAGATGCGAGTGAGAAACAAAGATTCTATTCCCAAAGCGAACTCATAAATAGATAGATTCGATTGGTTTATTCCGGAGGATGTGTAATTTGGAAACCGTTATCATAATTCTAGCTAATTCATGTTTAGGTTCGAAGGCCAAGCCTCAGACATCGATTGATTGATTGATAATTCATTAATTTTATAAGCCTCAGACATCGAATGGGGTGCCCTTTCAAGATCTAAACGAACATCATACAACTAGATCGGTAAATTTAGAAAAATTGTGTTACCGCGCGCCTACGCTCGAAACTGAAGTCTGTTCGAGGTCTCAGTATCCCTGTGGAGGGTAGTATAATGTCAAACAGCAGTTTGAAATTTCGATGCACATTATAATGTACAGCTTTTGCGGCCTGCATTCGCGATGGTAGGCATGCAAGCCCCCGGGCTTGATTTAATTAATTAATTACTTCATTAATTATATACAAAAGCCCCGGCTTAGGAACTAGATCGTTACAGATCTCTACCTCCGCTGTCTACTTACACATACAGAGCTTTACAATACATAGGAGAATATTAATGGCGATTGTTATCCTATTACTTAATAGAAATGGGTACATTACACCATTACCTCAAGGAGATTTTCCCAGGCCTAGAATAAGTTAATTATCTATAATCTATAAAAGTTCATATTCCTTTAAATTATATTATAATAGTAGACTAGTGTTCTCCTAGTCGCATACGCCAATTGCAACGGTCGAGGAACGAGACCTCTCCCTCCAGGAGCAGAGACGTCTTATGAATTAACTCGACTTAAACAGCTCGAGATCTAAGTTTTGTGATTTTGAGACCGGGTTTGTAAGACGGCTATTGCCAATGGAGTATGTGTCTTGTCCTATGCCCTTCATCGATATGTACGTCTTGTTGGAAACTAATCACTGAGTTTATTTTGTATAGAATGTTGGACGAGCCCCTAAGAGACGATATTGCATTTCTCTGCAGTAGTTACTTACTTCTAAATAAACCTATCAGTTCTTGAACGGGCTGACCTTCTCGCTTAACTCAAAAACACCTTACCGTTTCGCAAATTACCGTTCGTTTGACACGTGAGTTCCCATCGAGTGATACTTCATGAGTGTATGTAACCCTTCCACATACGTACGTAGACGTCATACGCAGTCACTCGGTCGAGGGTACGGGATTCTTTGTTCTCATAGACCTAAGTTCATAATATCTAACATAATTTATTCCCAGAACTCTAAAAAAAATAGCGGCCCATCGCCTGATATATACTTTCTCTTGCATATGCGCTTTCATGGGAGGTAATGTTCTCTTGCAGCAGGACGAGTTAATATTGCGATTTGCACTCCGGTGCTCTTCCTCCCACGCTCAATCCATAATGCCGCCTGTGATTGTATCCCCGAAACCCGGACACGTTGCGTCTTTCAAGATTATAAAGAACTTGAATTGTGAGAAAATAGGAACCCGGATACGGGGCGATGGAGCCTGGATTTGGGCAGATAGTGTAATGTAGCCTTAGCCCGACACCAAGAGGACCTCGCATCATACCCGAAAGACCCCTTCCCCTCCTCCACTATCCACTCAAGGGAAAAATGAAAAAATTGAAACAGAGGATACACCTAGAGGTGTGCTGCTTTCGTCGAAGGGAGTGAGTGACCCGAGTTACATTTCCGCCATAGATTCGGAACAGGCCGCTCAATCCTATCTATCTTTTTCAGATTGATCTTAGGCCTCAACTCATCTCCTCACGCCTGCTGGCTAGTTCAAAAGCCGAACACATAATTCTAGGAAACAGCGAAACGGACCGATCACCAACAAAGGGATAAGATCAGGATACGGACCTATCTACATGAATACAGTATTGTATGTATGTATACCTAACGCACCGCCTGTTGCGATGTTTACCTTTACTCGATGAAACCGCATCGGATTAATTGATTGAAACATTATGTGGGCTGACCAAAGGCGGTGTAGTTGTCAGTCATCGAATATAATCACTCCAACAGCTTAAGCGAGCAATTCAGATGTATCACACTGCCAACGAATAAAAGAAAAAAGATTGTTTTGTTTTGCATGTTGGTCCGATTATACATAATTCATACCCAAGCCGACAAGAAGGGAGAGGTCAAAAGCCAAAGTCAACTACGACATTAATACAACTACGAATGCCAGAGATGTCTACATTCTCCTGGCAATAGCCATTCTGGCTTCCTTTTTTGTGGGCGGCCCCAGCTCGGCCGAGCAGATCCACTTCCGTCCACGGTTATCGTCCTCCAGAGGACGGCCGAGGGGATAGCTATAGCGGATAATCAGAAAGCCCATCAAGTTAAAATTTTGGAGAATAGTAGAACTTACTCCTGCTCACTCTCGATTCTTTTCTTCCCCTTCGGCTTGTTCTCATAAATCCTCTTCTTCTCGAAAAAGATATACCTACCCGCACCCCACCACTCAGCAACCTTTCCAAACCCCAGAGCACATGAAAGTATGGTCAACAAGGGCGACAACAAAAACTTACGCTCCCGTAAAGGTTCCATTCTCCGCCCCGGACCCTTCGCCCTTCTTCTCCATGAACCTCCGATAACTGTTCGAGTTCACGTTTCCAATCTCCTCTCTAAATCTCTTCTGGGTGACCTTTGCGTACTTTGGATCGCGAAAGAAGGCCCTTATCTTCCTCCGGATTTCGTCGCACGAGTCATAGATGGGCACCTCGTCTTCTTCCTCGCCGGGCAGCTGCACCGCCGTCAGGAAGATGAGAGGGTCCTCTGTGGACGAAGAATCATCAGCAGCTGGCCTGGCAGTTTTGGTTTTTGTCTTGGGCGCGGTTGCCACCGCGGTGAACTCGGCGGCGTGCGGGTAGGGAGCTGCGGCGTCCACTACTGGGTTAACTAGTGGTTTCGGTGCGGCCTTGGGCATGGTTTTATGTGGGGAGTGAGTATCGAAGGTAAACAGCTGATTGGAGCCGACACAAGAAGCCCGTTACAATCACAGAGAAATCTTGAGGAACGGAGTGAAATTAAAGCTCTAGAGTAGGTAGGGGCTGTCTCCGCTGCTGGGGCACTTAAGTAGGTACATGTATCACCCATCCATCATGGAGTACTGACGTCGCGCACGTGACCCACGTCATCCTGATCCGTGTCCACAGGCTTTTGGGGGAGTTTCGCGAATGCATTTTCTTACTCGCTGCTGTAGCGAGCGAAAGATGCTGAGCTGAGACTTCGACTGAACGTGCCCAGCCAGGCCCTAGAGGCTAGAGCAGAGGGGTCATGTAGCGCACGTCCGTTTCCGTTTGGTGGGGGTCTGTGCGCCCGAAACATTTACAGTCACTCGAGCCAGGCCAAGGATAGTCTTTTTTTGTTTAATTCATGGCCAAGGATAGTCCGTAATAACAGACAATATTATTTCTCTCTTAAGGCTTGTTTAAAAGAAAGCATTGACTATTTTCCGGATGGGCTTTATGAGGATCCTTTATGATACGGGATGACTTGACCAGATAGAGTTTTTCGGTGGGTACATTTCATTTTGATATTGAGCTTATCTTTACCGGGGTTTTGATGAGTTTCTCTACACTATCCGCGGAATGGCCCAAGCTTCTAGAGATGATAATCTCCTAGCTCAACGAGTACAAACCGTTCTCTCCACATCTCTACGTGGAATAGTAAATACTCGGGATCAACGGGCCAAGAGCAAAGCTAGCAACAATCTCGAGTTACCAGTTCTAGGAGTTACATATCATCCATTATCACGAGAAGAATTTGTCCCGAAACGTTTAGACAGTGCGATTGATTGTACGAGACCTCTATATGACTGATCCCAGAAACTTTTTCATGGCAGGGTTTGATGGAAACCACCCCAACCACAACTTTTCCTGTCCGAAAAGAAAAAAAAGTAAAAAAAAAAAAAGAACAAAACCCCTTCAAGCTTTGATATCCATACTCCAACCACAACAACCTGTCCCAGCCGATTACCTATTGTAAAATGAAAGAAAAAGATTTAAGAAATAACCCCCGTGAAATTACTGAAAGAAACCCTGCAAAACCTTAAACAATTCGAGCCCCACCTTGAAAATCTCGTATACACGGCAGGCTTTTTGGAGGAAACCCTTCGTTGGAAAAGAACATAAGGACAGAAATCAGGAAAGAGATCCGGTACAACAAAATAAGCGTTCATCATATCGCCATCAAACAAATAACAAAAAACTCTGCAGGAGGTGTAGCCAAATTCAAAAGCAAAGGATATCAGGCCCAAAAATACCATCACAGGAAATACATTTTGCTTCTTCCAACAAATAAACACCAACATCAAAGCGCAAAAAGAGCTTGTGCAACAAATAATCAAAAGAAAGAAGTAGCAAATACGGAAGGAAAGAAACCTCGTCCCCTACTCCACAGATTTCCACTCTTTTTGCAACGAATCGAGTCTTTTATAGAGGTCAGCTGTAACAGCATCCACTCCATTATTATCATGCCTAGATGAACCTCCGTATGATTGCCCATCCTCGCCCACTCGTACCATAGCGTTAGGATAACGAGGACCGCCCACTCTCTTCCTCGCCGCAATAAGGTCATTGATCTCCTTGGACCTTTCCAGGATATCACAATAGATTTTTCCTCTCTCAACAGCTGCATTCACAAAATGATGCAAATCTCGCATATGGCAAGCCTCCTCCCATATCTTCTTCATCCTTGGAGAGTAAAGATCGCAAGCTTGAGGCTCCGGAGAAAAACGGGCGTGTACTGTCATAAAATGGGCCAATGGACTTTCCCGAACGTGTTCAAACCAACATTCCTCGCAAACCACGAAATCGTCTGTTCCGTACCACTTGGCTCGCGCCAGGAACTTTCCTGGCTGACAGGGTGGGATCGCAGCGCGGGGGATGATGTAAGAAAGAAAGAGACCAAAGTCTTTCCAGTTCGCAGCCTCCCCAAGCTTTTCTAGTAATGGGAGGAATCGTGGACTCTCTGGGGTTAAGCTGCAGACCCGCACGACCGAAGAGTTGTAGCTGGGACTGGAAGGGTCTGAGTTGTTCACATATATCACGTGTTGGAAGTATTGGGCTAGGTTGAGCGGTCTGATTAAGGTGAAATAGCAGGTTCGGCAGCACTTGAAGTTTTCGAGGCAGGGGTCATGATGCTGAAGCGTATACCACTCCCCCCCTACAGCATGATCTGGGAATCCCTTCGCCGTACAAGGCGGAAGATCGAAGACAGCGCGGGCCGCTTCCCACCAAACCGCATATTGCCCTCTTTCGACGGCAAGAGCCCAAGGCCCTTTGATATTGAAGTTTGACATTGCACAGGTGAGGAGCTGCGATGATTGAGCTGCAGGTATAACGGCTTGAATAAATTGGTCTTTAAAGTGTGGCACAATATCATCGCAATAGCAAGCATCGCAAACAGTGAGTCCTGGAATAGGATCCTTCGGAACCCACCAGTTTTTGCCGGAGCTCTTGACTGGCGTTTTACCAGGGCAAGGGGAAACTTCATTGAGACGATATAGGGCGATATTCCGAAATTCATCCCATTGATCTTGCCCGGTCTGATCCTGATACTTTGAAAGTTGAAGCATGCCCCCAGCGATGAACGGGATTGCCAGATCACATGTCCATACTTTATCTTCTGGCACAGCATGAACCTGACTAAAGCAGCCTGCAAATGCAGTTGCTAGTACGATATCGTTGTAACACGCATCGCAGCACCGAAACTTTGGTATCGATCCGTCATAAACTTTCCAGCGTTTTGCTGATGGTCCCCCAACCGATGTGCCTTCAACGCCATTGCAGGGTGGTATGGTGGATCTCATGGCCGCATAGTCTCTGAGGGTATTGAAATTGCCCGTCTGTAATACGTGCGGCCAAACTTTCTGTAATATTCGATCCGTGTTGAAATGACATGAGGCGTTCTCACCATAAGGTTTATCGGAGGGGATGAAGTGAGCAAAGAATGGTGATGGGTGTATATGTATATAGTAGCAACTTATACAGATATCAAAGTTTGGAATTGAGGGTATCTGGAACCACCTATTCCAGTGGACAAGTGTCTTTTTGGGGCATGTCGGAAGTAGCTCAATAGGAGGAGCGGGATCCCTCTTTGGCGGTGGACGTAGCTGTGTTTGCTGGACGGGAGACGGTGGAGGCGGTGTCTGTCGGAAACGTGGTTGAGGGCTTGGACGTGGAGGTGCTTGTGACTCCAATGGTGGGGGCTGGTATCTTGTTTGAGGATTGGGTGAATGAGTATATGGCCTTGGCTCACGCGCCGCTGGGGGCGTGGGTTCTGGTTTCGGAGTTTCTGATTTCAAAGCATATGGACGGGGCGCCCTAGGTTCCGGAGGTACTCTAGGTTCTTGAGGTACCCTATGTTCTGGAGGCGCCCTAGATTCTTGGGGTGCCCTATGTTCTGGGGGTGCCCTAGATTCTTGGGGTGCCCTATATTCTAGAGGTGCCCTAGAGTCTTGAGATGCCCTGTGTTCTGGAGGTGCCCGAGAGTCTTGAGATGCCCTATGTTCTTGAGGTGCCCTAGGTTCTGGAATTACTGGCTCAGAAGTATCAGATATAATGGAGTATGGTCTTGGCTGCCGTACTATTGGAGGGACGGCTGGCGGAGGTGGTGAATTGTTACTGATTGCATAGGGCCTTGATTTTCTAGTGGATGTTTCATTTCCAGGCGAATCTGGCTCTGAGCTTGAGTCCGAATGTTCAAAATACTGGAGGGGATGATTTCTCCATGAATCCGACTTCACAAGAGTTGGTTTGATGAACTCGGTTGCCTTATTTATGGGCTTTGAATCTTTCGGGGGTGGAGCTTGTTCAGGTATCGGCTCCGGCTTGTAATCATCTGGCAGAGGCTCGTTCCTCAACCGGGCCTTAACCTCAGCGGAGAGAGTAGAAAAGTAGCCCTCATCCTCATCAAGCACATGCTTAGAATCCGGGGAAAGAGTTGCAAAGGAAGCTGGTGAAGAGGGAACGCTCTCCACGCTAGGTGATTTATATCCTGGGGGCCTTTGTGGGACCCCAATGCGCTTTGGCCCATTATTTCTCTTACGACCCGAAGAACGACGCTGCTGTTGCGGTTCTTCAAACCGCAAACGAGATATATCCGGCAGGCCCTGTTGCTGGCGCCGCGATGTAGACGAATGCGAGGAGTTTGAAGAAACCGAGGAAGAGACTGATGACCCCGATGACAGTGATATAGGACGATAATTTTGTTGATACTGGCCTCTTTGTTGGCTATAAGGGTCAGCACTTTTTGGTTGTTGGGGGTAACCCGATGGAACACCTGACGTTGTTGAGGTCTGGATAGGTGGCGGATTGTGTGGAGGTGGATGATGTACAGAGGGCTGGCGACGAACGTTTAGACGGTCGAAGACCCTCGGCTCCCTTCTATATCCAGGACTAGAGGCAACAGAGTGCAGGTCATCTTGAGGAGGTGGTGGATACTGAGAGGACTGATTGAAGTTCACAGGAGGGGTAGGCGGAGGCGGGGGTGGGGGTGGAACATAGGATGAAGATTGAGGAGGGTACGGCCCCGGGTGATACGGATTCTGTCGGGGCGGCGGGGCGGAAGAGGACGCGGGGTAGCGTCCAAAGGGATGAGCATGAGACGACATCGTAGCTGGCTGAAGCCGAGCCGACCTGGACGAAACGGAGCTGGGACGAAAACTAGGGCCTTAATTTAGTTGTATGTGGGTGTGGTGTGGGGTGTGGAAAGATGATGATATGATGGGAGGGGGAGGGGCTCTGGATGAGTGAATGAATAAATGAGTGAGATGCGTTTGAGAGTTTGTGATTGAGGGAAAGAGTGAGAGAGGTAGGTAGTAGGTTGGAAGAGAGAGGAGGGGAAGAGTAGACGATGCGGAAACAAGCGTCGCCTTCGGTGACGTCGGCTACCGTGTATGTACTAGAAGTCAGTCCAGTGGCCTTCTTTTCTATCTGGCTGCTGTCTGTCTCTCTGTCTGCTGTGGACCAGTGACGTGACACAGACACAAGGGATAGGTCGATCTTTCGAAAAGTAGAGAGAGATAGAGATAGATGGATTAGATGGATAGAGCCATCCATCACTTACTCAGCCTCCGAGTCTACACGGCAGTGCGTATGAGCTCTTGAGTCTTAGCAATTGGTGCCTTTTTTTTTATTTATTTATCCCTCCTTACTTCTTCTTCTAACTGTTTGCTACAGGGCTTTCCCTTACATTTCCTGGAGGACCATGAGGTGAGAGACAGGCGGGCAGGGACGGGCAGGCAAGAAAGGCTATTTCGTTTGCTCTTCATGTCTTGGTGGGCGAAGTAGATCGGAGAAATCGCGAGTAAAACACGCTGGCGCCATCCAATCCCCGCACTCTAATCACCCCCCGTTACTACTCCCAGCCCTTCCAGAATGTTCTTGCTACTAGGCGGATTTAGCAACGCCCGAGCATGGATCGCTTGGGCAACAAATTGTTCGGGCCGTGACAAAGCACAAAATGGGGATTTAGCAAAACTGACTTCTAGGCCTGACATCACTCCATCGCCAACACCCAAGACCTGTGAGTGAGCCCTACTATTTGACAACTAGAGACACTAATTTTATCATAGATCCCTCAAGTTATTCACAAGCTTTAAGTTATTCACAAGCTATAAGCTATTGCCATCAAAGTTCACAACCTTTCCATCATCACCAGTGCAGGCTCGTTTCGCATCGCCGTTTCGTTTCGTTTCTTCTGCTGCTGCTGCTCCTGCTGCCACTTCAGGCAAAACATATACCTGTTTGGCATCACCACTACTGCTTGGTTTCGCCCCGCCGTTTCGTTCCGCCGTTTCATCTCATCATTTCGCCCTGCCGTTCCGTTTCCTCAAACCGTTTCGCTGAATTGTTTCGTCCCGCCGTTTCATCCCGCCGTTTCTTCCCACCGTTTCTTCCCGCCGTTTCTTCCCACCGTTTCATTGCGCTGTTTCGTTTCCGGAGTCTGTTTCCCTCTACTGTTTCCCTCTATTATCTCGCTACTGGAGTTTGTTTCACTCCGTTACTGATTTCCTTTGGCTCGGCAGTCATGGAAGGAAACGCCAGTGAAATGGATTTGATTGTTGTTTCCAGTACGGTTGCTGTATCGGTAACAATGGTTTCAGTAATAATAAGTGAAAGATTACGGAGACAGAGAAGACTGAGGAGGAGGAGGGAAATCGAACAGGCTACTCGCTATCGACCATCAATTGTATTCACCCGCTTTGAGTTTTCACTTGAAGCATGGACAGATGAGGTAGCGGAGGAGTACTTTAGGTTCACAAAAAGGGAAATATACGATATGCTCGAACAATTTAATCTTCAATCTATTGTGTACCCAGCGCGATGCGTTTGTTCAGCAGAATTAGCTCTGTGTATCACTTTGAGCCGACTTTCCTCACCTTCTCGATACAAGGACCACTTCCACCAGTTTGGCAAATCCCGGAGTTTTCAATCAAATATTTTCAATGCCGTTATCTGTTACCTTGACACTAGGTATAAAGTCAAGCTACGGTGGGATGAGAGGAGGTTGACTTTGAACACTCTACGATCCTACAATAATGGTATCAAAGATATTGGTGGGCCCGATGGGGTATGGGGGTTTGTTGATGGAACTCTTCGAACCATTTGCAAGACAGAAGAAAATCAGAAAGTATTCTATACCGGGTACAAGAAAGCTCATGCTTTAAAGTGGCAGGGTATAATGACACCGGATGGGTTGATTTCTTCTCTTTTTGGCCCCGTTGAAGGTAAACTTGGGGATTGGGTTGTATGGAAGATGTCTGGCATCGAAGATATCTTAAGAATGGTTTACCAAAGGTTAACTCCAGCGGAAAGATATTATATCTATGGAGACCCAGCCTACAGTCTTTCCTACTCCGTTATGTGCGCCTATAAAGCATCAGCAGCGCGTCCTTTAACCCTGGAACAAAAACTTCATAATGCCGCTATGTCTTCCTATAGAATAGCAGTTGAGCATGGATTTGGAAAAGTTGTCAATCTTTGGGGCTTCGTAGCTTATAAAAATGGAATGAGAATAGGGAAGTCTCCGGTGGGAGCTTATTATAATGTTGCGGTCCTACTTACCAATATTCATACTTGTTTCCGTGGTAGTCAAGTAACATCACAATTCAATGTTGCACCCCCAGCCTTTAGGGATTATATTATCCTCTGAAAGATTATAAAAGAATATACTAGTTTCCTTCATTTCTTTCTGCCAATTTGGATACATGCCCAAGTATTTGAGATAGTATGTCATCTCTTCTTACGTTCTGGGCTTCCAACAAACTCAATCTATTCTCTAACGCTTCGGTCTCTACCTTCCCCACTTGGGGCCGGTTGGCCAGATCTTGAATTGCTCCCGCCATTTGGTTTCCCATATTCATGACTGCGTTAACCAACTTTTCTGTATCTTCATGTCCCGCTTCTATCTCTTTTTCCAGCATTTCCGTTCTTTGTACCCCTTTGGATTTCTTAGTACGTATTTGTTGAATTGTATTCCCTTTCTCCTCTTCATCGACCATTTGTCTTTTAGCACCTTGAGATACGAGTAAATTGGAACGTCGCTGTTCCGCTTCCGCCATTTCTTTATTGATTTCTTGTTGACTTTTGCTGGCGTCCAACTTCTCTTTCTCTAAAAAATTCAATCTCTCAATCCATTTATCGAGCGCTTGTGTAATCTCCGTATCGACTTGAGCGGTACCCGATTGTAGAAGTTCTGCTTCCACGTTGATCTATATTCAAATTCTAGTAAGATTACTATACTTCAATGTTGGAAATGAATAATTCACCTTTCTTGTCGAGACAAGACCCTTCACTGTTGAGGCAGGATCACGTAGTCGTTTGCCAGTTTCACGATCCAACAAGACAGCCATTTTTGCCCAAAAATCTCCCTTCTTGCCTTCTATATACTCGGATTGATGTGACACGCAAAGACGAATCAGAATTAGTTGATCATTTTCTTCAAGTCTTGTGCGATTAGTTGATGGAGATTGCAATTGACGGGTGGATGTAGTTTGTGAGAGAAGTGGAGACGGTGTCTGCGCAAGATCTAGAACACCCGATTGCATATTAATAGAACTAAAAATTGTAGAAATGATTTGTTTCAAAAGGTGGACGATAAGGTGGTTGGATTATTGAGAGAGATTGTGAAATTTTTTCCTTGTAGGAACCCACGCCACCTAATAAAAACTTTTTTTTTTAACCGACCACAGTTTTTTTTACATCATTTAAGTTGGCAGTAGTCGAATCTGCTTATTTAGATAACATTCGGCTTATCTGCATATATTTTCTAGCTGCTGTTCATGAGAAATATTTTTTTGAAAAAACTGAATCTTCTAGGCGGGTATATACCCGCCTAGGGTGAATTGATTATACACACTAAACTACATTGAGTGCCAAGAATGAGTTCTCTTGGCCCAGAGATCTGTGCTCGGGCGTTGCTAAATCCGCCTACTGAACTGGAGTTCATGTTGGCCCTGTGTTACCATGAATCGATACTTCGAGCCTCCACTGGATTCTTCTAGGAGACGCCAAGTAAAATATTTTATCTCAAACTCGAAACTTTGGCAGCCTGCCTCAATCAGGTGGGGTGACTATTGAGTATTGTCTCCGCACTTTTTGTGCAAACGGACCTTCCATCGATCACCGCTCGGCTCCACATGATGGAATCATGCTTGGGTTTTTCCAACTCGTTCGCTACGAACATGAGTTCAAATTCTCCCAACTCACCGTCATTTTCACTGCGAGTCGGAATAATGATGATGGATGTTGTTCCCGTCTTTACTGGCTCACCCGCCAATGATATCAACGCGGCGTGTTGGTACACATATGCAGGCTATTGAGGGGAAATCTAAGTGATTGGTGGTAATCTGTCAACATCCGGTGAGGAACAGATCTAGATCTCCTTTAGAGATGCCTCAAATTGCAAAAGTGTAGGATGCAATTCAAGTTACAACTGAAATCCCATGGCTCTCATTTGCCTGGGCAGTGATGATGAAACGGGTAGCCAAAGACTCACACCGGCTCCCCAGAGATATTCGTATATCTAGATGCAGAGTAGTGATGTGTTCAAAAGCGTTTACCCGGTTGCCTCAAAGCACTTCTTTCGGAATTATTACAGGCAAATCAGTGCAAGAAGGCACTCGCCTGCTTGTCATACTTCTCTCTGGGGAAGGAAAGAACCTGGACATGCATCTGTATTGCTGACCAACCAAGCAATGCATACATGTATGTGGACAACGAGATACAAGACACTGCCAGCAAAGTCAAAGTTCATTCTTAATTATCCTCAAAACATGGCTAGAGCAGTTCTTCCAAGCAAAGAGACTAACTGTTTTTGTCTACTATATAATTAGTCGGACGGATTCAACAGTTGCCAAGACCTAACTATTCTCCTTCCAAGAGTGGAAATATCCAATAGCAATTAGTCATATTAGGAGCTAATAAAACACTGATACAGCTTGTCTCTCGCTGTAGATGCGTTATCAGAATAATTGATAACCGTAGGGTTTCCGGTCTTGATACACCAATTTCACTTGGAAATTTGAAATTTAAAGAAGCCAAAAGTGGCTATATTATGTGTGGTCATTATACATTGTTCCCTTTCAATCATCCAACTATTTCTCTCTTCTCTCGTCTAAGCAGATACATATTGCCGCCATCATCGCAGAGTCCACTGCGTTCACAAACAGGAGCCGTTAGCGTTGAGCGTACACGCACAAGTCGAGAGAAAACTTACCTCGGGGTGCGACAGTCAGGAAATAAGTCTGCTGATCAAAAAACAGCTCCCCACTGTTCAAAATCTTATTCTTAATAGTGGCTATGGTTCGCCCCTCACATGATATGGTCGCGTTCCTTCTGAAAAACTCTCCCTTGATGTGCAATTTCATTTCTTTCCCATCTGACCTATTTCGGAAATGTACCATCATTTCCGGGGATCCAAAGAGCTTGAACTTCCCACGAACGGTAACGAGCTGCTCGCTATCCGAATCTCCCGCGAAAATTTGGAACTCTTTGTGCAGTGAGAGGGGCTTTTGTGTAATCGTCAGGACGGGATTTCCACTGGCGGGATCAACCAGAACTGTTGTACTGTTAGAAATAGAGTCGCAACTAATTAGGTCAAAATACAAATCCAATACCTTTCTTCCCAACAAAGGAGATAAGGCTTGGGTTGGCCTTTAGAAATCCTTGACCGTCTACGGTCGTGATCTCGAAACTATCACCCGTGAGTGATAGCCTCTTTTCTCGGAGTTTGAGAATTAGTGGAGTTTCGTGGCGACAGTATGGTTCGAAGATGCCAAGGTTACTCGGCCAGCTATAACATAATCAGTTACAAGTTGAATAGGGAGGTAAGAATGATCATGATCATACGCTTGGAGGGTGTCTTGTGCGTTACTCATTCTGAATTCTGAGTTCTTTGGATCAGGTGTTGAAATATGAGTTTGTTCGGTAACTCTAATGCTTTAGGTACGAATATTGGTATTTGATTAAATAATTAAAGACCCAAGAGACTCGAATACGGCCTCTTATTTATATAGGGAACCCAAACAAAGAATTGAGTCCATTAATAGAGTGGAGAGATGGTTGCAGGGTTGGCGTTAATACAGCCTCGCGAACATCCTTGACACTTACTCCATCTGGCGAAAGGAATGTGGATCCAACAATGAAGCCACTGAAGACTAGAATCTTATTCTTCTCAGGGACCATGATCGACAGGTTTTTACAGTTGTGTACCTTGGATTGGCGAGTAGTGGCGTCTAAACGACGTCTCGGATCCCCGAATCGAGAGCTTCTAACTTATTTTATGCCTCGAGAACAAAGTTTACATACCTTCCAGAAACCGTAACGATTCAATGGAAAAATTGAGTAACATTCTACTCAGGTGGCAGTACTCTATAGGAATGTAGATAATAGAAATTTTAGGCCAACCATCAATTTTGAAAAATGCGGGAACCGTTTTGCTGGGTGGCAAATAGCAATTTCCAAAATTGATCGTTGGCCTAAAGTTTCTAATCACCAAAGCATCAGGTGTTTCAAAAGCTGCAGTCTCCTCGTGGTACGATAGGTAGACTCACAGCGCACGTGCCAGAGAGTGGTTCAAACATCTGGTTGATCCTTGAAGAAACATGCCAAGCTCAGAGACGTTGCAAGTAAAACGTTACATTACATCTACCAATCAAACGGAGATCCGAGTGGGTTGATCGTCACTTTACAGTTTCAAGTGGGGAAAGTTTAACGGCCTAGCTAGCTATTAAAAGCAGCTCATGGTCAATAGCTACATTCAATACACACTGGCGAAATCCTTGAAGTTTCACTTGACAACTCAATTCACCGCCATAGTTAAATCTATTTTTGGTTTTGGGACCCGATGATCTTGATCTTTACGGTGCTTATTTAATCTAAACTGAAGCAGGTCTCTCCGAGATAAACATTCCCGACAATTGTTGAGATCGGTAACTTTGTATCGACGACATGAGCTCAGCCCTATCGCTCACCCAACCCTAGCCACTGGACTGCGGTCTTAGACAATTGCAAGCTACTCTAGACACAAGACATCGCGTAATTCACAGCCGTCCTGCAGCTAGCTGTAGCAAGCCAAGAATATATGTGCGCGTACCTACGGAGACGGCACTTGAGCTTTTGTGACTCGGTTGATTCAGAGGAGTTGGAACCATAGCCCGATCCTGTTCTTGATATGTTTCCTTGGCGTTTCAATAGAAGAATCGAGGCGTGAAATCATGCAGCGACACAGACTGACTGCAAAGCGGTGCAGAGCGAGGCATCAAATAATAACGCTAATACAGTTCTATCATCACTACTAAGTAAATCTAAAATGCCCCGCGATCAACGGCTACGGTCGATGCATGATATGATATATCATTGCAGTTATCTATGGAGTGGACTACAAATAGGGTTAGTCAGCAGTCAACAATACTGTATTAATTGACGAGTAGAACAGATATACCAGACTATCCCGTATATCTTCGTAGTGAGAGGACTTTTCCCCTTTCATCAACCAAGCCATCTACATATATTGCATTAAATATAACTTTCAGTGGAGGACTTCTTCAATGGCAGGTCTAGATCGATACCAGACCTCTATCTTCAAATATTGTGACCCTCCGGCTAATTCAATGATTCAAAGATTCAAAGAAAGAGCAGCGGCCGTAATAAGACTGCATGTACTCTATTAAGATTGATGGGTAAGCCAATTTCTTTCATACGCTGTTTATTGAAATATTTCCGTTAACAACCAAATACTCTAATGCAATCATTAAATATCACTCGCTTGCTCAGTACAACTCAATCGCATCCACGATATAATTCGCACTCAAGAATCCCGCATCTCCGCTCCCCGTCACGCCCACAACCAATGTATTCTCCCCAGCTACTAATGTCCCCGCCGGTACCTCCCACTCATAACTCTCCCCGTAACCCCTGTACCCGCCTCTGGTCACACCCCTCGAATCAATCAACACCGGCGCGCCCGGATCCGCACCTGTCCATGCACCATTAATCACCACCGACGGCCTCCCTGTCTTGAACGACAGCGTCGTTGCAATTCTCAACGTCCTCTTGGCCGTATTGGCCGCCGTAAACGTAATCGTCGCCGGCCCTCCGGTCTTTGCAAACAGCGCCATCGGGAAGTCCGCCGCCGTCGACACACCCACCGTGTAGTTCCCGCCCCAGGTAGACATGCGGGTGTCCGACGGATGCATTCCGAGGAACTTGTCACCATTCTTAAACTCGAAGGGCTGGCCGTCGAACTCGCCGATGCGGAAAACGGGGGACGCAGCTACGACCTCGGTAGAGGCGATGTTGCTAGTGGTGCTGCCGCCAACGGCCACGGTGACGGTCTGGATGGCGACGAGGAGCTCCTGCTTGTAGAGCTTCATGGTATAGGTACCGGGCTTCATGTAGGGGCTCGTATAGCTACCGGAGGAGCTGGCGCGCGTCCAGTACTGGTTCTCGGTGTTGGACCAGGCGATGACTGCTTCGAATTCCTGCGGGTTGAGACGAGAGGTAAGATATTGCTCTGCAAGAAGGGAGCAAATTGGATAGGATAGTCATACCGATGGAACACCAGAGACAGACCCGGTCATAAGTCCGCGGCCCGACTGCGGGACATAGCCAAGGATATCAAGTTCGCTGAAGAAGCTGGTGTCCAGGTCAGCAGACGCTGGACCCGTGCTTGAAAAGACGGCTGCGTAGGGGCCCTTTAGACCCATTCTCCAAGGTTCGGTGCGGAGATGACCCGAGTTCATGTAGAATGTGAACTCCTGCGAGGTCGATGTTTCTACAACCAGTCAGAGACGCTTCTATATATATAAGCACAGAAAATGGCCCTACAAACCTTGGTTATTGATATCGCGCATAAAAGGACCGCCGGACGAGGTCTCATACGCCGTTCCAGGCATCACGAGCGATATATAGATTCCTGCACATAGCCGCCGGGTGTCAATGATTATTCACCCATTAAAATTGTCCTAGGAGCGGGGGTAATGATTACCAGGCCCAGAAACGGTGTGCACCAAGTCGTCGATAAACCGGTCCGAGCTGTAGAACTTACACCTCGTCGTCCCGTCGGCCAAGAACACATCGCTCCCCTCGATGGCCACGCCGCCCGTGTTGTCACTCGCGGGGTCGCGGATGCTGGTCGGCAGGTTCGTCTTGTCCAGCCTCGCCAACCACCGCAGCTCTCCGGGCGACACCTCGCCCGTGATGTATGTCCCCATATCTACCCCGACTCTATTAGCTACCTATCTATACTCCCTGGGGCTACAAAAAACCCTCAAGTCATTCACTACTTACAGATCACACTATCCCCCTTCTTCGCAACATAATAATGCGTCACCGGATTCGCTGCCGACACGATCGTGATCTTGATATAGTCACTCCCGACCGTCTCGGCCGTGACCGTGCTCGTTCCCAGGCCCGAATTGATATGCGTCCATTTGCCCTCCTTCGACTGGTAGTCGACCGAGTTATAGACAAGCGTCAAGATGTCGCCCGTGGTGCGGCTGACGGAGAAGACGAGCCCGCCGTCAGTGTCGACCGTGTATGCGCTGCTAGTGCTGGTGAGCTGGAATGCGCCGAGTACAGCGGTCGCGGCGTGTGTGAGGAGGACGGCGAGGGGGAGGGTGAGTTTCATTGTGTGGTAGCTAGCTATAGCTGGCTTGTTATCTGGGCTGCTACTTGGGTTTCAAAATGGGCGGTGGCATCATGGGCTATATAATTGTCTGCACCGCTATATGTGATGTCTGGATCTGCAGGAACGAGTGCCTGGATGGATGGACTCGGGGGAATAGCGCACGCAAAGGCGAGGATCACCGGACCGTCCGCTCCCCCGGCTGCACGTGCGGGAAGAGCGATCGCCGTCCCTTGCAGGCGACACTCGGTAAAATGGGCCCCGACCAAAGAAGTGGCCCCAGGGGCTGTTTCTCTGGGGACCCGGGGACTGCCCAGCCGGAGACCAAGCCGGGGAGTGGAGGGGAGGATCACTGGCAGCTTAAGCTTAACTGGACCAAGGTTAGATAAAGCTTGTCCTTCCTCTTTGGGCCTTGTTACTATTGGCTGTATTATGTAACAGGTGCCTGGGGTGCAAAAAGGTAATGATACTTTCACACCTTTTCTGCACCATCCTCCCATCCTCCCCCCACACACAGAGACATACATTCGTGACCGAAATAAAGACAAAGAAGAAGAAGAGATAGACAGTGCTTGACTGCTTAAATGAGAGACTGAATAAACCAAAAAGAAATATGTAAAAAGTGTTCCCAACGCCTGAGCCCCCGTGTGTATATGCTACAAAACCTACTAGCGGAAAAACCAAAAACTCCTAGCTGCTAACCAGCTGTTCCTAACTCTCGACAAAACATAGAAAACCCCAATTTTAATTAACCCCTCTGGCGAATCTAGTGTTCACCGGACTGACCGCTGGGGACCTCACCACCCACGAATTGCTTCTCTGGTAATGACTCCCTCTCGCCGCCACCCTCGCGTAGGAGTCCCCCTTCAGGATTGGAATCACCTCGTCGCTGGTCCCAAAAGCTGCGTGCTTCAGATTCGCCCCTGTCGACGAAATCTCGTCAATGACCCCGAATTGAAATTCCTTTCGCTTCAGCTCCTCCGGGAAGGGGTCGCCCCCGAGGCACACGCCCTCGTATTCCTCCACGAGCCGATCTATAGTACGGTTCCGGGTCGTGACCATAATCTTTGAGAACGTGGTGTCCGAGGTGATGCCATTGGAGCGCAGCGATAGCCCGCCGACGACGATGCATGCGAGAGCCATTATGATAGAGATGGCATATCCACCCCATAAACTGCTAACCTGGTACCTGAAATTATTCTGGGTGTGGCGCATGACGCAGGGTACGGTCTTGTTGTAGCTGATTCCCAGGTAGTTCTCCGACAGCAGGGAGATGATGATTTCCTCAAAGTATGTCTGGAAGGCGTTGCGCAGGTCGCGGCGGGCAAGGGCGCTGTCCGGATTGACGAGCTTTGTCTGCGAGATGAGGGAGAATGTGCGCACTTGCTCGGTGTAGTTGTCTTGCGTGATCTTGCCCACGATCTGCTTCCGGGCGAGCTGGCCGAGGCCGTGGTAGACGGCGTATTCCTTGTAGGTGGGGTCGCTAGGATGCACCTCCCGCTGTTGCGGGTTGATTGAGACGCCGTTTGAGATGTTGACCTGCTTGTTGACTTGGACGTTGTTGATGTATTCAAACTCAATGTCGTAGCGGGCCCGCTGTAGCTCGCACTGCATGAGATGCTGGTTTAGTTTAAAGGGCCAGCTTGCATTATAACCCTCCGACTCGGGAGAGAGCCGGTTGGTCGTGTTGGTCACCCATCCCATCCATATCTTTGGCTCGTTGTAAAATATCCCCTGGCTGCCAATATCGTTTGAATCATAGCCTTTCTGCGGCCGCTGGTAATCAATGCTGTCCTCGTCCATGAAATACATCTTGTTCCCCTTTGGCGCCAATGAGTCGTATGTATCGTTCTCCGTCAACGGGTTCAGGTCCTTGGTTAAATCCGCCCCTTTCTTCATCGTACAGTTATACCACGGGCCATCGAAAAAAAGCTCCCAAGTGCAATTGAAGCCCATGCACGGCGAGCGCATGGGAATAAACGTGTGCGACATGGTAGTTAGTGTAAACAGGCGTACAGCATTGAAGCTAGGCTGGTCGAACCACTCTATCTTGTCCTCGACCTTCGCCTCGTATGTTGGCGTGACGTTCCAGAAGGCCAATGATTCGCCAGCCCGGAATCGGGGTTTGCGCCAGTCGTTGATGTTCTCGGATGTGAAGTTCACGGTGTGCACCTCGCAGCTGTTGTTTCCGCCAACGATGTATGCGAGCTCGGTGGTGAGTGCTGCGGGGGACAGGACGGAGGCAAGTGGGATAATCCTTTTTTCATTTAGGAAAGCAAATAGTCAGAATTGCCTGTGGCTTTGAATTTGTGATATTTGTATATATATGCGAAAAATGATCATTACCAGGTGATTATTGCCATTGCAGTGGCTAGCTTGGCTTTCTTATAGATTTCGAGGGTAAAGAAGTGTGTAGGGTCCTCTACTACCGCAAATAAGCTATCAATGCCCCGCAGAGTAAGTGGCTTTCGCCGCATGGTATCCCAGATACGTTGTCTGTGAAGGGAGAGGTGAGAAACTGTTAGCGTGAGCCCGACAAGTAACACCTGCGAGGCAGCCAACAGGCACAAGCACATGCATCCCCACGCAACCACGATGCCCAAGGCAAAGCTGGCAAGGAAGGCGCTTGAACAAACCTGTACGCAACCACCACGGACCCCACCAACATGGCTTTCGTAAAGAACGCCAATGCTGTTCCAATTCTCATCATCGTCAACTGATCCTTCGCTTCCTTTCCATTCAGCGATTGGTAAAACAAGTGATGCGCGAGCGCCCCCAGCAGCCCCAGAAACAGCAGTGTCACCATTGACGACGGAAGAAACCAATGTATCTTTGTTCCCCACATCATCTGCATCTCCTTTGACCTAATCCTCTCCAGCCTTTCCATGGAACTTCCTCCAGAGTAACTCGTTTCCACCGCTGTGTTGGTGCTTGGTTGACTGACGCTCCGGGACGGAATCGAGCTATATCCGAATTTTGTCCTCAACGCAGGCGGGGATCCAGGCGTGAAGAACTCTGGAGCAGTGGTTCCTGGGCTGGTAAGGGGAGAGAGATTCCCATACATTTCATAATCTTCCCGTGGTCGTGCCATTTCTACCGTGCTCGCGCTTTCCTCTTTGTGGTCAGATTCCTCACTGCCAGGAGATCAACGAGTGGTGATGGCTTTAAGAGAAGGGTCTTGCGGTTAGTACGCACACCACTGATTGCTTGTGCTATCTGGCGAGGAATATGAATGCAGGATAAGAGCATATGGTGACAGAAGTGGGGGTTTATTCGTCGAGCGAGCAGTCAGTTGCTTGAGCCGCAAGAATCGGCTTTCAGAACCTCTTTATTCTCTACCACCTTAGAAAAACGGCAGACGAAGCAGCCAGTTCAGCTGTACTAAAAAGTGTGTTAGTCAGGAACCCCGGTGATATTAAGGTGTGTGTGGTTTCGAGTAATAAACTCTAGAGCTATATTGGCAAATAGAGGGGTGCTTGTGGCGCGTTCTGCCCTATGGAAACGATGATCAAGCTTCAGCCAAACAAAGGTGACCATCCCCCATCCCATCCGCCCAGCGTATCATATAAAGTGACGGGACTAGAAGCACAGTGACAGTACGGCTATTCGGTCAACAATGTGTACTTATGACCGGTTCTCTCTGCTGCAAAATGCCGTTTCTTTATATGTATGTACATCCGCATGTGATTTCCGCAAGTATTATTGAGCGGTGAGGTAAATATTCATTCATTTAGACCAAACGGTGTACAGCCAAAAGAAACTGTGTCTACAGTCAAGATACTGCTGGCAGAGCTTGCTTGACCTATGATAGGCACGTACGTACTCTATGTATTTAACAAAATGATTGATGTTTTCGATCCGGATTCCAGATCCTCAGCCCTTCAGATGTGTCTAAAAACGTACGCACAGGGCTGAGGCTGAATAAAAGAAGATGGTGGGGAAGCTTGTTCACGTGTGGTGCCAATCTCTCATTGGCCTGACCAGGGTCGTTTAGCGAAGAACCCTAACCTTCGTGAAACCGGCGGCTGCTGCATACATAGTGTTTTCAAGAGAGATATGGATCTGCCCCACCAGAAAGGACTCATCAGGGGAGATTTTTCGTGGAGACAACTGCGCGGATGATGATTGTCTTGACTGCGCGCAGGTGCAATGATACTTTATTGTTCTTCACTTATCCAAATCGAGTTGAAAAATCTACAGTTTTCCTCATCCAAAACCCAGTGTGGGGCGTCATTGATGCCAGAGACGTTGAAATAAGCTCTGTACGAGAGGAATTAGCTGCGGCATCGAAAATCGGTTCGAGCTTGGCGGCGTTATGTAAGGGCGAGACTATGGAAGGTCAAACATCGGCCAATCATGTAAATGCTTGCTTGACTAAGTTCGATTAGGGCTAGTGCCTGCTTACCTCCCATTGAACATTACGAGTACAATATTTGTTATTTTAGGCAACTGTCGACAGTGCAAGTTAGTTGCCGGGAATCCATGTGTTCCCCGATGTGCTGGTATCTCTAGAACCAGTAGATTGTTCTAGACGTGCGATGATCATGATCATGGATGAGAGCGAAGAAACTTGTACCTGGGCCCTCTTCGCAATTGTGTGAAACAGTAAGCCAGGGAGTGTAACATAGGAATAGATACATGTATCAACGAATCTCAAGAGGGTGGGATTACGACCGGTACGTGGTACCGTAGACCGTGATTCTTCTTGAACCACTCAGTCCCTCAAGATGCGAATGATCTTTGAAAGCTTATATTGGCTGAGCATTATCCTTGAAGACTTGAAGAGGTACCTTGTGTACCGGAATATGAGCTCATTTATTAATAGATTGCAGATAACGATGTCGGTTCTGGCAGAAACTCGGAAAAAGCGTTGGCAAAATAACCTTTTACCCCGAAGGCTAACCAGCGGGGCTCAATATGGCCGCGACCACGCGGACGAGTACTACGGCATCGTAGAACAGCATAATTAAGTGTGGCGGTTCATATCCGCGAGAAAAGCAGGAAAATAACTGCTTAAGCCACACCGCCACGTTATTCTTTACCCTGGATACCGTAGCACAGCATCCATAGTTCCCAGCTAAATGAGATCGCATTACGTCTGTACCACTAATCGTTATCACGGGTTTTGTCAGTGTTCGTATATTCGGATAGCATCTTTAAACATAACGCCAGTCGAATGCTATGTTCTTACCAGCCTGTATGCATCTATCCATTTCGCCGACAATCAAATCTTCCAAGCCCACCCAGTAACCCCTTGGAGGTCTGGGGTAAGTATATGACCTATTTCTTAAGCCCTCAGACAGCAAGTTTACTCGTCGTTTCAGTACTCTTCACGATCGACAGTGATACCAGTTAACTGCCAAGCCATCACATGCAGTCATGAGAGATC